GCGGCGGGAGGGTGGGCGCCGAGGGGGAGGGAAGGGGGAGTGTCGGCGGGAGTGTGAGTGTAGGTGTGAGTGTAGGCTGAGTGTGAGTGTAGGCTGAGTATTGATGGAGTGTGAGTGTAGACCGAGTGTGAGTGCAGGCAGAGTGAGTGTAACTTGAGTGTAGCCTTCCTGTGGGTGTAGATGTGAGTTTATGCTGAGGGTGAATGTAGATGTGAGTGTAGGCTGAGTGTGAGTGTAGCTTGAGTGTGAGTGCAGACGTGAGCGTAGCTTGAATGTGAGTGTAGGCCGAGTGTGAGTGTAGATGTGAGTGTAGCTTGAGTGTGAGGCTGAGTGTATAGAGGTCAGTGTAGGCTGGGTATGAGTGTGAGTGTAGGCTGAGTGCGAGTGTGAGTGTAGTCATGAGCTTAGGCTGCAGGCGAGTGTAGCCTGAGTGTAAGTGTAGGCTGCATCTGAGTGTTGATTGAGGGTGAGTGTAGATGTGAGTGTAAACATGAGTGTAGGCTGCATGTGAGTGCAGCTTGAGTGTAAGTGTAGACATGACTGTGGGCTGAGTGTGACTGTAGCTTGAGTGTGAGTGTAAGGTGAGTATGTGTAGCGTGAGTGTAGGCTGAATGAGTGTAACTTGAGCATAGACTTAGTGTGAGTGTAGCTGTGAGTTTAGGCTGAGTGCGAGTGTACACCGAGTGAGTGTAGATTAAATGTGAGGGTGACTGTAGTGTGAGTGTAGGCTGAGTGAGACATTGCTTGAGTGTGAGTGTAAACGTGAATTTAGGCTGAGGGTGAATGTAGGTGTGAGTGTAGGCTGAGTACGAGTGTGAGTAGCTGGACTGTGACTGTAGCCTGAGTGTGACTGTAGCCTGAGTATGAGTGTAGACATGTGAGCATAGCTTGAATGTGAGTGTAGGCTGAGTGTGAGTGCAGACATGAGTGTACCTTGAGTGTGAGTGGGGCTGAGTGGGAATGTAGGCTGATTGTGAGTGTGAACGTGAGTTTAGGCCGAGTGCGAGTGTAGGGTGAGTGCGAGTGTAGACATGAGCTTAGGCTGCATGCGAGTGTAGCCTGAGTGTAAGTGTAGGCTGCATCTGAGTGTTGACAGAGGGTGAGTATGAGTGTAAATGTGAGTGTAGGGCGAGTGTGAGTGCAGATGGGAGCGTGGACACGAGCGTAAGCTGTGTGTGAGTGTGGGCTGAGTGTAGACTGAATGGGAGTGTAGGCTGAGTGCGAGTGTAGGCTGAGTGAATTTAGCTTGAGTGTGAGTGTAGGCTGAGTGTGAGTGTGGATTGTAGATGTGCACGTAGGCTGAGTGTGGATGGGCCTGTAGCGTGAGTGGTGTAGCCCGAGTGTGAGTGTAGGTGACGCGGAGGGTACTCGTAGGGCGCAAAGGGAGTGCGAGCGCGGGCTGTAGCTGTGTCCGTGTCCCCCGCGGGCAGCCCTCCGTGGCGGCGCTGGGGCGGTGTCAGCCCTCGGCGCGGTGTCAGCCCTCGGCGCGGCTGTCCCCTACCCGCTCTGTGTGTGTGTCCCCCAGGGGCACCTTCCTGGTGTACAAGGACGGGGACGTCGCCCACCCCTCGGTGCGGGAGCGCCTGTGGCACAACAGCGACTTCAACTTCGACAACGTGCTGGCGGGGATGATGGCGCTCTTCACCGTCTCCACCTTCGAGGGCTGGCCCGCGTGAGTCACCCGGGGGGACGGTGACGCCCCGACCCCCGCGCGAGGTGGCGCCTCGCGGACCACCGCCTCCCCCCGCCCGCCCCAGGCTGCTGTACAAGGCCATCGACGCCAACGCCGAGGACCAGGGTCCCATCTACAACTACCGGGTGGAGATCTCCATCTTCTTCATCATCTACATCATCGTCATCGCCTTCTTCATGATGAACATCTTCGTCGGCTTCGTCATCATCACCTTCCGGGCGCAGGGGGAGAGCGAGTACCGCAACTGCGAGCTGGACAAGAACCAGGTGCTTGGGGACGCTGCGGTGTCACCTCGTCACCCCCGCGGTGTCACCTTGTCGCCCCGTGGCAGCCGGCTGTGTCCCCGTCCCCCTCCCCTCCGCAGCGGCAGTGCGTGGAGTACGCCCTGAAGGCGCAGCCGTTGCGGCGGGACATCCCCCAGAACCCCAGCCCGGAACGCGGCCGGGCCA